GGGTGGGCAAACTTTTTGACTCGAGGGCCACAATGGGTTCTTAAACTGGACCGGAGGGCCGGAACAAAAGCATGGATGGAGTGAGAAAAGCACTGGGTCTCCTAGTGTTAACCGTCAGGGTCTAGTAGTGTGTGGGTTCTTTTCACAACCTGAGTCCAGGTGGCTCTGAGAGTATGTTTATTAAAGCTGGGGACAGTAAAATGAAATAAGGCCTTAGGATAAAAGAGGGAACCTAAGCCCAGCTGCTTTGTATTGTAAGACCCCCAGAAGGAGACCCTTACTCTGTCCCACGGATCTACGGCGACCCCAATCAACCGCAGGAGGCGTCACTTGATGCAAACAGCAAGAGGCTTTATTCCAGCGCGCTGGGGCTCAACTCGTAACTCACGCAGGAGCAGAGGAGTCGAGCCCCGAGCAGAAGGTCTCACGAGTATATATAGGCAAAACCCACACATCGGGAGGGGTTACACTCGGAGGGGGGAAGAGGGGAACAAAGGAATTCCAAAGGGGAACTGGGCTCGTTAATTACATGTTTCATGACAGGGCTTAAGCTTAGTCAACAGTCCCATCTGGTAATCTTATATCCTGTTTAACTGTCAGAGCGCTGTTTGCTCAGCTTGCTATTTGCTCGGGGCTGTTTCCTGGGACAGCTTTAAGGGCTTTGTTCCCACCACTGGCGGGAGGACCTCGGGGAGTTGAGCCAGCGCGCTGGGGTTCTAAACACAGGCAGCTTCTAAACACAGGCAGCTTTTAAACATTTTTATTCTTTCAGTATCTGGGGGTCAGTTGGAGAAAGTGAACATGAATGGCCGATGAGCAATCTCATATAGTGACAGTCTTCTAGACTGTGCTCCTTCAGTTCATTTTCAAACAAAGCTGTGATGGAAACACTTGTCTGCTCCTGGTCCCTTAGGGTTTGAGGCACCTGTGGACAGGGCATCACAGAGTATGTGGTCCTGTTATACATGTGTGCCAGGGGAGGGGACTGGGTGAAGAACTGGGGACAGGGTAGCTGGGGAAGGATACTGAGGGCAACCCTGATGCCACCACATGGGTTTCTTCTCCCCTCGTGCATCTGCACAGTATCCAAGGATCTGGCCTTGCCCACTCCAGGACAACCCTACCTCTATGTCGTGTATGTTTCCTTCCCACGTCCCGCATGGGTCAGGGTTCAGGATCTGAAAGAGGAGCCGCACACAAATGAAAGAGAAAAGACCTGAGATAATTTGAAATATGGGGGAGCCAGGCAGGCAAGTCCAACTCAAGGAGAAGGACTTCCACCGATGCTCAGACCGCTCCAACCTTTTATTTTGTCTGGGGTAGCCCTAGGGTAAGGAGGTTTGAATGACACATGGATTAGCTCATTGGTCTACACAAGTATCTAAGGAATTCAGTGAACTAAGGTGGGGATAATGCTTCAGCTACCATTATCTAGATTAACTGGGTGGTGTCTAAATTAACTGGGTGGTGCACAGTCCTGACCTTTTCTAGGACTTTCAAAGGTTACTAGCTTTTGGGGGTCTCTCTCTATACTCAGCTAGTGAAGACAGTAAATGGTTTCCTGCACCTCTAGGAATCCACCCTGGGAGTCTGCGCTCTAGACGTTCCTGTCCCAACGCCTCACACTACTCAGATTTCAGATGGGTTGGGTCATTTGGATTCAAAACGAGGCTAGTATTTATCAGAAGAGCTATCTGCCCCGGTGCATTTATGAGAGTTGAGAGCAGGCTTTGGCCCAGGGGAGGTAACAGGGTTCTCTTTTGGGTTTGGGAGGAACAGAAGTGCAGCCCACATTCTCATTGCTGGGTTGGAAATTGTGCACATCTGTGGGCTCGGAGAGCAAGGGAAGACAGGAGAGAAAAACAGTTTGGTCTTCATGTAACATCTCATTGTTTCTTGATTTCAGAGAGGAAGGGAGCGGGAGAGATAGAAACATCAATGATGATGAAGAGCAGCTGGAACTTCTCTACCTCCCCTTAACTAACTTTTCCGGTGAATGATTAAGAGGAAAACCTCCCCCTCCTCTTGTACTTTAACTGACCCTTCCCGTAAGCTCGGGGCTCCAGTCAGCCAGCACTTACCTCGGGATGCTGCTTGTCTGCCTGAGGGCCCCTGCGCTGCGCTTGTAGTAAAAATCCTCTTGCTTTTGCATCAAGTTCCGGTCTCTGCGTTTGACTTGGGGTCGACGCCCCCTCCGTCGGACTCCCCGGGGGTCTTAGGACCTTACAATGAGAGCGAATCATTGGTCGTTGCCTCCTGCACGCTCCCTATTGGGGATCGAGCCTGCAACCCAGGCATGTGCCCTTGGCCAGAAACGAATCTGGGACCCTTCAGTCTGCAGACCAACACTCTATCCACTGATTCAAACCTGCTAGGACTCATTGTTTCTTATTCTCTTCTGTGACAAAGGGCAGGGGAGTGTGACATTTTTCATCATTCAAGTCCTTCTGCCTGTGAGTGTGGTGACAACAAGACATATTCTCAAGATGCAGGTGTGATTGGTCAACATAAAGTCGCCTGAGAAAACAACCCAGAGCAGGAGGAGGAAGAGGACAATATGGCTGCTTCTCAGGTAAACGCTGTCTTGGCTCAGTTCTGTGTCTGCTTTTCCTTCTCAAGTTCACGGATGTAGGTGGTGCAGACCTGCAGACCTTTGCTTCTCTATTTCTGATGATCCTGCCAGAGGGAGTTTGCTTTCAACTACTAACTTTTTTTCCTTATAGCTGTCCAAGTTTCCTCTTTTTTAAAAATCGTCACCATAGGATATACCTAATTGCAAGCACTGTGGTGGCACAGCTAAAAGGTTCCACTGCTTTCTAACTAGTGCACTTAGTACATTACTTTTCTTCAGAGAGAGAGAGAGAGAGAGAGAGAGAGAGAGAGAGAGAGAGAGACATCTTGAAAGAAGCATGTGGACTGGTTGCCTCCCACATGCACCCCTACTGGTGTCAGGGAACCTGCCACCGAGGTAAGTGCCCTCAACCTGGACTCTAACCCGCATCCTTTCTGTCTGGGGCAGATGCTCTAATCACGGAGAATGGCAGGGCCCAAGTTCCCTCTTTAAAATGTTATGTCATTTGGGGTTTTGGGTTCTCCAAGATAGAATTCAAGAGGAGTTACCAGAGAAATTTCTGGGCATATTTTCTTAGGCTTTTGCTAAAAGATAAGGGAGATGACACAGAAGAAAGGAAGGTCCTCTGAGCTGACTCAGGGGCTGGCTCTGCTTGGCGGCCATAACAAGCTTGGGACACATGGGAGGGTGGTTGGAAAAGGCCTGCTGGTGGTTACTTGCTTTTCCAACAGGGTTACCTGGTAGTGCCTGCGCTGTGAGGGAAAGATGGCAGTGTAGTTCACTAGAGCCACCCGAGGAAGGTCATGTAGCAGTCAAGCCTTCATCAACTGCTCAAGTACATGAGTAGTTTCAACATCTGCAAGGAAGCAGGCCTTTAGGAGGCAGATAAAGTCATCTACCTCTGCATTTTTGTCCACAGCTTTCTGTCTGTTGTGTCCATCCAGGTCCCCTATACGAATCTCACCATAAATTAATGACCATTGTGTGGGAGGAAGATACTTTCTTCTACTTTCAAGGTCCTCTCAGCTGGCCTAATCAGAAAGGGGATATGTATGGGAGCTGCACACACATGACAGAGTCAGAGACCCCACATGAAGAGAGGCTCAGAGACTGAAAGGGAAATTTAGCATATGAGACAGTCTGAGCTTGGGATGAGGTAATGCACTTTGAAACTTCAGAAGATCTTTGACTGGAGATCACATGTTCAAGAGGTATTAGTTTGCCTACCACCTAGATAGGTAAAAAGTCATTATTGATTTTGACACTTATCATGGGCCAGGCTTCTAATTTAAATTCTTCTAGGTAGTTCAGGGGGAGAGCAGAAGCTTCTCTTGAGCCCATAGGGCAGCCATGGGCAAACTACAGCCCGTGGGCCGGATCCGGCCTGTTTGAAATGAATAAAACTATTGAAAAAAAAGACCATACCCTTTTATGTAATGACTAGAGGCCCGGTGCACAAAAATTTGTGCACTCGGTGGGGGGTGGTCCCTCAGCCCGGCCTGTGCCCTCTTGCAGTCTGGGACCCCTCGGAGGATAACCACCTGCTGGCTTAAGCCCGCTCCCCGGGGGATTGGCAGTCAGAAATCTGTCTGGCAGCCTGGGAGCCCTCAGGGGATGCTTACTTGCCAGCAGGGAGCAGACCTAAGTTGCAGTCAGACATCCTTAGCGCTGCTGAGGAGGCGGGAGAGGCTCCCACCACCACCGCTGTACTGGCAGCCATCAGCTTGGCTGTGGCTGAGCAGAGCTCGCCCTGTGGGAGCACACTGACCACCAGGGGACAGCTCCTGCATTGAGTGTCTGCCCCTGGTGGTCAGTGTGTGTCATAGTGACCAGTCTTTCCTAATTGTTCTGCTGTTGGGGTCAATTTGCATATTACCCATTTATTATATAGGATAGAGGTCTGGTGCATGGGTGGGGGCCAGCTGGTTTGACTTGAAGAGTGTCCCGGATCAGGGTGGGAGGTCTTGCTGGGGTGCTTGGCGCCAGGGCAGGCAGGAAGCTTGGCTTCCTCCATCGCAGGGGGCAAGCCAAGCCTCCTGCTTGCTCCAGCTCCATGGCTTCCAGCTGCCATCTTGGTTAGGTTAATTTGCATATAATCGATCTGATTGGCTGGTGGGCGTGGCTTGGGCGTAGTGAAGGTACAGTCATTTGCATGTTTCTCTTTTATTAGATTAGATGTTTACTTTGAATTTATATTAGTTCACACAAACACTCCATCCATGCTTTTGTTCCGGCCCTCTGGTCCAGTTTAAGAACCCATTGTGGCCCTCGATTCAAAAAGTTTGCCCACCCCTGCCATAGGGTCTTGGTGCCTTCAGCTCAACATAATCTACCTACTGTTGAAGCACATCTTAGGGTGCCTTATTTTGAACCCCTACCTTCAACTTTTGGAAACATTTTTGTGTGTGTGACAGACCAACCTGGGAAGGCACTGATATCCAAGATCCCTATAGAGATGAGATGTGAAGTGTAGATGGGAGATGTAGGTTTTAGATTTCGTATGGCTGCAACATCTGCTCTGTAGAACAGGATTGAGACAATGCACATTTAACCAGGCCCTAATTAGATCAGATGGTTCTGAAAGAAAAATTGTTGTAAGAGACTTGCTCACTACGTTGATAAGAAGGAATTACTTTTAAAAATATATATATATTTTTATTGATTTGAGAGACGAAGGGAGAGGGAGAGAGAGAGAGAAACAATGGTGAGAGAGAATCATCGATAGGCTATCTCCTGCACGCCCCCCACACTGGGGATTCCTAACCAGGAATCGAACTGTGACCTAATAGTTCATAGGTCAACAACACTCAACCACCGAGCCACATCGGCCGGACAGAAAGAAAGGCTCTTTAAGTCACTGTTTTCCAAACTTTTTTTGGCTGTGCCCCACCTAAGCATCTCTAAAATCCTGATACCCCTCCTGTGACATATAATTCTTATTATTCAAAATGTGAACTTCTGTTCTTGTGGAGGAAGCCTAAAAGGCCATTAACTTGGTCTAAACAAGCTTCCAAAGAACATGGCATCCATGAAAGAGAAAAGTAAAAGAATGAAAGGATAATAGAAATACTGAGGAAGAAATCACTAAGGAAGTGTTAAAAATACTAATACTATGGAGTGATATGAAAAAAATAGCAAATAAAGTATCAAAACATAATAGATAACTGAAATGTATAAATATGTCACAATATATATTCATATACTCTATATGAAGTCCCTAGATCCATAAGAAATGCAAAAAATTCATTGTTAATTCTTGAATTTCCCCTCTTAAAGTCAAATTGCCCCACATTGGGACCACTGCTTTAAATGCACTGTTCGATTTACAGAGTCTGGGAGGTATATGTGGATTGAAATCTGTATAATCCAGCGGTTCTCAACCTGTGGGTCACGATCCTTTTGGGGGTCGAACGACCCTTGCACAGGGGTTGCCTAAGACCATCGGAAAACACATATATAATTACATATTGTTTTTGTGATTAATCACTATGCTTTAATTATGTTCAATTTGAAACAATGAAATTGGGGGTCACCACAACATGAGAAACTGTATTAAAGGGTCGTGGCATTAGGAAGGTTGAGAACTACTGGTATAAGCTGATGCTAGTGATGTGTCCTTTCCCGTGCTTCAGTCCCCTGATGTGATTTCCTTTGCATCTGATTTTCACTTGGTGCAGGTGTTCTCTGCCAAATTCCTGAACTACAGAGTTAAATTTTTTAAAAAAATATATGTTTATTGATTTCAGAGAGGAAGGGAAAAGGAGAGAGAGAAACATCAATGATGAGAGAGAATCATGGATCTGCTGCCTCTTGCACCCCCTCTACTGGGGATCGAGCCTGCAACCCAGGCATTGAACCTGGGACCCTTCAGTCCACAGGCTGACACTCTATCCACTGAACCTAACCAGCTAATAAACTTCAGGGTAATTTGTTGACATGAAGATTTTATTTTGTATTGCATTCAGTGTGCACATTATTTCCATTTGTATGTCTTGGTTTTTGCAGAAAATGCTAACGTTGAGCTCTGCTTTCTTACCTTCTTATTTCTATTCTTTACAACAGCTGTGTACATTCATGAGGGTTGTGTCTGTGTGTTGGTCTTTGTTCTTTTTGACAAATTCCAGGTAAAGTTTGGAATAACACCTAGGCTCTATCACTTGCTGGAGGTTTTACAAAATTTTCTCATAAAAAAGAAACAATCGCCATGGCTCAGTTGTCTGAGTGGTGACCCTGAGAGGTCACTGCTTCAGTTCCCAGTCAGGGCACATGCCCGGGGTGCTGGTTCAATCCTTGGTAGGGGACATGCATGAGTCAGCTCATCAATGTTTCTCTCATCGATGTTTTTATCTCTCCACCTTTCACTCTCTCTCTAACAAAAACTTATTTTTTGAAAAAGGAAGAATAATATTATTGTTCTTTGATTACTTTTGAGATTGATTAATGTGTATAAAATTGTTAGAACAATGTATTAAAGAAGGACTGTGGCTGTTAGGTTTACTAATCAATGAGATTTGTAAATTCCATAAAACTATTCAAAGTCTTGTATTTGAATTGTTTCCTGTGTTTTCTTCTGTGCTATGTAAAGTGCAGCACATGAACCAGACACATTGGCATCCATAGTCATACATGAGTTAGTTAAACATGTGCAAACTCAGGCCCCACCCCAGAAATCCTTAAAATTTTAGAAGTACTTTATAGTTGTCACTCAGAATGACTTCTCCACCTAAAAAATATATACTGGTACACTTGATCCTCTGTGATTCAAACAAAGCACTCAAAAATGAATATGCCTGTGTTGATGCCTTTATTTATTATTGTTATTTTTTAATACATATTTTTGTGGATTTCAGAGAGGAAGGGAAAGGGAGACAGAGATAGAGACATCAATGATGAGTAAGAATCATTGATTGGCTGCCTCCTGCATGCCCCACCCTGGGAATCAAGCCTGCAACCTGGGCATGTACCCTGACCAGAAATTGAACCATGACCTTGTGGTTCATAGATTGATGCTCACCACTGAGCCATGATGGCCCGGCTATTTTTAAAATTTGTCTTGTAGAAAAGTAAAGCTTCAACTGTGGTTTTGTGGGTCATATGCCATCCTTCTTTCTCAAAATACATTAGAGAATATTAGTGCCAAAGTGGTGTTATTGGATAACTCAGGGTACTTCTCTGGCTCAAAATCAGTTCAGCACTAGCCGGTTTGGTTCAGGGGATAGAGCTCTCCACTGTAGACTGAAGGCTTTCTGGTTTGATTCCTGTCAAGGGCACATACCTTGGTTGCAGGCTTGATCCCAGGCCCTGGGTCGGCCGCATGCTGGAGACAGTCAATCCATGTGTTTCTCTCTCTTTATCTCGCCCTCTCCCTTCCACTCTCTCTAAAAATCAATGGAAAAATATCCTCCGTTGAGGATTAACAAAAACCAAAAACAAAAGTTCAATCAAACTGTTTTCTTTTTAAAAAAATATATTTTATTGATTTTTTACAGAGGAAGAGAGAGGGATAGAGAGTTAGAAACATCAATGAGAGAGAAACATCAATCAGCCGCCTCCTGAACACCCCCCACTGGGGGTACACGCAACCAAGGTACATGCCCTTGACCGGGATCAAACCCGGGACCCTTGAGTCCGCAGGCCAGCACGCCATCCACTGAGCCAAACCGGTCAGGGCTTGAACTTTTTTCTTATTGTGTGACATTATGACCTCTGCCCATGGTCACTTGAGTAATGTTTGGTTGTTTTTTCTTTTAATTTCAGGGGCAGTTGACCTTCAGTGATGTGGCCATAGAATTCTCTCAGGAGGAGTGGGCGTGCCTGGACCCAGCTCAGCGGAAACTGTTCAGGGACGTGATGTTACAGAACTACAGGAACCTGGTATTCCTGGGTGAGGACCACTTCCTTCCAGAATTTCTCCTCCACCCGCAGGGTGTTGTTTTCTTCATTAGCACAGTGTCTGCTTGTAGCTTCTGCTTTTTATGATAGAGTTTCAGATCCGTGTTATTAAGGAAAGCAACTGGGGTTTTGCTGGGGTACTTGCAAATGGAAATCAGAATCTGAAAACTTTAAATGTAGTCTCTACTATGGTAAAGGTGATATCAGAAAATAATATTTTGGGGAAACTTTTTCTAGACTATTCTGATATTCTACAATGTCCTGTCTTCTCACTTGAGCTCAGTATATATTTGAAATTGGAGAATCTCCTTTAAAATTCCTGTTCCTTTTTCTCATAAACAGGTCTTGCTGTGTCTAAGCCAGACCTGGTCACCTTTTTGGAGCACATGAAGGAGCCCTGGGAGTTGAAGAGAAAAAGAACAGTATCCATCCACCCAGGTAGGTGGGAATGAAGGAAGCAGATGACCCAGATGAGAGGCCAAGGTTGACAGAGGAAGCCAGATCTTAAACTATGGTTTGGGAAGCTTGGCTTCAATGGAAATGATTTTTTTTTTTTTTATAGTCCAGCTCAGTCCCACCCAGGATGAGACTCCTCTCTTTGTCCTGTTTGTCTACACTGTATACACTCCTCACCCAACACTCACTCAGTAGCTGTCTTGGTTATCCAATGGTTATCAGGTTGACTGCCATAGCATTGCAGTGCCTGAGTTGAAGTCACCCTTGTTTTACTTAACAGCGCTCCCCCCTACCTACCCTTCCTAGCCTCCAGTGAAGGAGTAGAAATGCTGACAGTTCCACCATGCCAGCGAGGAGCCATAAATAATTCCTTTAAGTGGAAAAGTGTGTATGTATAGGAAAAAGCATAGTGTATATATACAGTTTGGTACTACCCATGGTTTCAGGAATCCACTGGGGGGTCTTGGAACACATACCCCTGTGGATAAGTGTGTGTAAACTTTATGTCAATTAAAAATTTCCAGTTGATACTGGGAATCCCCAAGGAAAATTATTTTTCTTGTTTGTTTATTTTACTTTTTTAAAAATAGGTTTCTACT